TTATTACTACCAACCTACTCCTCTCGTCGTTCTCCTACTTACTACTAACCCTAAACCTAACTACAACGAAACCAACCTTACCTTACTACTCTACGTACGTCTCTCTACTCTCTACTACTATCTCTCTCTCTCTCTCTCTCTCTCTCTCTCTAGAAACGAAATCTTTCTCTTCCAGTCTTTGATTTAGTCTTCCTTTCTTCTTTCTCTCTCTTTTTTTCTTTCGTTTCCATTCCCAAAACCACATTTCTGATCTCTATTTTTTGCCCCTTTTTCCCTTCATTTTGCTCACACCCCTCCACGCTTTGTACTATTTTTCTCTTTTTCTTATGAAATTTCGTCTACACTGTCTCCTATGCTTTGCTAAAATTTCCACCATTTTTGCTGCTCAGTCTGCCTACTACTTTTAGCTTTCTCACTCTTCATTTTTCTGTAAAAATCTGCGACCTTTTAGGGTTTTGACTGTGTTTTCCTGATCAGGATACGAAGAAGACTATATTTTCGTAATGGGAAGGGGAAAGATTGAGATCAAGCGCATAGAGAACACAACTAATAGGCAGGTGACCTTTTGCAAACGGCGCAATGGGCTACTCAAGAAAGCCTATGAATTATCTGTTCTCTGTGATGCTGAAGTTGCACTTATTGTCTTTTCAAGTCGAGGTCGACTGTACGAATATGCAAATAACAGGTATTTAGAATCTTTTTTTTCTTGATTTTCAGCTGTTTTTCTAGAAATTGTCTCTCTCTTGATTTTACAAAGTTCTTATATGCAAATAGCAGGTATTTAGAATATTTTTTTCTTGATTTTTCAGCTGTTTTTGAAAAATAGTCTCTCTCTTGATTTTACAAAGTGATTGGGTCAAATTGCCTTTCACTTGGTTCTTAAGGAGTTTTTAAGTTAAATTAGTCATCCTTTTGAATTTTAGTGTTTGTTTTCAGTGTTGATTGGTCTTTCTCTCCATTTCTGGGGTTTACTTCGGAGGACTCTTAATCTCATCTCTTTGCAAGTTTCAATGGGGTTATCTTTCTGAAGATTATTGATTTTTTAAGTTCTGGTCCCAAATCTTCTCAGATTACTACTTTTTTATTCCCAGCCTTGGTTATTTTAAAGATCCAGTTCATGCTTTTCGTTTTTTTTTAAAATAACTTTTCAGGATTTGGACTTTCTTATTTTATGGAAATTTCTGAGTTTAAAATTGCTCTTTTTTTTTCCTTTTGAACTTTGGTACTAATCTAAATATTTAAGTCTATAAATCCTTTTCCCTTTTTCTTTTATCCATTTCTCCAGTCCATATTGTACTTCATCCAAGTGTCTTGTGCTTCTTTTTGTAAACCTCCATATTTGAAACTTTCTTGATTGAAGATCTTATGCTTCTGTGTTCAAACTTGAACAAGTGATTTCAAGGATGAGCTTAAACTTCCGATAGCAAGGATTTTCCGAGACTTCAAAATTTTTCAACCTATTGATCTGGCATTACCTTTCGATAACCCTAATTTCTGAAACGTGTCCCTGTCCCACCTGCGCACTGCTTTACACTTCAAAACAATATAAATCTACTTGTCTTTGAGAAAAAAAAATCCCGAGCTTAATAATCTTATTTTCAACTTAGCAATCCCCTTTGTATGGGTAAATCTCTTACCATTGTTTGGATAAATTGAATCTCCTTAAGAAAACATAATTTTATTTTTCCGATTCACGATTCTTTCAAAAATCAGTTTTTCTCAAGGTGAAAGGAACAAGGAAAAATGATTTCCTTAGGAAATCATAATTTTCTTTTTCTTATTCGTGATTCTATCAAAAATCAGGTTTCCTCAAGGTGAAAGGAACAAGGAAAAAAGATTTATATGTACTCAAGCGATCTAGTTTTGACAAAAACAAGTATCTCATGCTTCAACCTTCAAAATTTTCCTTTTAATACTTCTCTATGAATTTCTTAAGATTTTTTTAAACCGTCATTCCCAGTTTTTCTTTCTGTGGCTGAATGTTTCATTGATACGATTTAAAAGTAGTCCTAAATCGGTTTTTTAAATTGTGGATAGAGCCCCTTGGTCAAAAATTTGTTTTAATAATATTACACTTTTGGAAAAATTTCTCATAATTTATTTATACTTTAAGCATAATGATTCAGAGAAGATTTCCGTCCCTGTTTTTTTGTTTGATAAATTAGAAGTAGATCTTCGTTTCAAATGCATGATAGTCAAAATTAGCTCATCATAAGATATTAAGATTTAAAATGATCGTTTGAGATTAATAATCTGGAAATGGCCTGAGGGTCCTTATTTGAGTACATATATTTTGTGTCTAACGTTTTTCTGAACCTTTTGAAGCATCTCTATAATTTTATCTTTGGTCGCTTCTCTTACTCCCCTTTCGGCTTTGTATGTTGCATTTTTGTCTTCAATGCAATTTCAAAGTATTGAAAGCCTATGAAATCCTGCTGCGAATATTATCTTCAAAAAGTTGTCATCATCTGTTCACATGAAATGGAAATTAAGTAAAATAAGTGAATGTCAAAGTACTGAAAGCCAATGAAATCTTTGCCGCGAACGTTATCTTCGAAAAGTTGTCATCATCCGTTGAGATGAAATTGAAATTCAGCAGGTTGGAACTTTACAGCATAATAATAAGTTGCTCAGAAACTTGGTAGTTCAACTTTATTAGAAAATACTAACCTGATTCTACAAGATATTGAATGTTACTGAAATTGTTAGGTCAATGATTATATAGGATTGAGAAAGTATTGCTTGTGTTCCTTTTCAACTTCTTCCACCGCCTCATTGAACTGCTAACTTCCAAGATTGCTTAGTTTCTCTTGTGGATCTTGGGAATTTGAAGAAAGTAGGAATCACTAAAGAAATAACACATGAGCTTACCCCCCATTTTCAATATTGTTAATCTTTTTTGAAATTCATCATTTTATGTGTAGTGGCCAGTGATGCTAGAAACCCGGTAAAGTTTCAGCGTCTTTATCTGAAAGCATTCACTCATCGGTTGAATTTTCATTTATTGAGGAGCAATAATTTTCTAAGTGAGATGATTGCTTATAGCGTCACCCAATGAGAACGCTTACCTTACATTGGAGATCTCCAATCACATTGAGAAAGAATTTTCTCCACAATCTAAACCGTCCATTCAAATAAAAAAGAATCTCAACCGTCAAAATAAGTCTATCCTCCCCACGCTCTTCCCTCTTCTAGAATGCTTCCTTTAGATCTAAAATTTGGTTTTTGAATAAACGGTGCTGATTTTACTGAATCAAGTCAAACTCTATTTGTGCTTGTAAAATCTGTACTTGTTGCTTTGTAAAGAAACCATGAGTTCGCGATGGTCATACACCTGTGGTGTATGGTCTACTCAAACTCGTGCGTGTAAATGGTTTCTTGAGTTTCTTCACTGAGTCGCTTCGTCCAATCCCAGCCTTCCATTAAAATGAACATCAACCATCCGACGAAATAGATGCCCCATCAAACCATGTTTTGACAGGTGTCGATATTTGAACTTGAAGAAACTCATTACTTCTACCCTTTTTCTCTCTCCTTTTCTTTTATTCGGTCTCATATTCCTCACGTCACTGACCAACACACAAGGTGTCACCCTCTCATTAGCCAACCCCTAAATCCATTTGACCCTTCCTTAATCCACTCCTCCCTCTCCCTCTCCCTCTCCCTCTCTCTCCACCTTTTTTTGCTTTTCCATTTCGCCCCTACTGCCATTTGAGCTGCGTAACTCCTGTTTCGTAATGGTTCTTATTCAAATCTCCGTTTTATATAGTGTTATTATTCCTTTATCCTTCAATTTTCTCTAGTCCCTGAAAAATAAATGGGTGAATGAATCGCATTCCTTCCTTTTTTTTCTTTTTTTTTTTTTTAATATCTTGCCATTTTTGGTAAGTTGATTAATAGTTTCAGACGACTATTTTTAGAAAATTAGCGTATCAAAAGGTCATTATCTAGGGTTTTGTAGGCTGAACAGGTCAAGTCCCCCTCTCTTCTGGAAAACAACCCAGATAGTAATTACTTGCTGAGCTTATAATGTTTGACTCTTGTTTATTTAAACTTCTTCCATCATCTGAGATTTTGTTTTGCCCGTTTGTTTTCCTATGATCTTTTCTTTGTTCTGCCTCTCATGAAGATGATTGTTTCGCTCATTTTATTTCTTACTTCTTTCTTTCCCTCATTTTAGTTTTAACTTGTTTTTCTTTTAAGGCGCTGGCATTTTGTTTAGTACGAGATTAGAAAAGGGTATAGTTGAATATGTTATTAACTTTTAGACGAGTTCTCCGTTTTATTGCTATATTTTATGTTCATTTCGAAGCAGTGAGATGCCAAGTTTGGACACGTGTCTTAGTGAGCTTGAGAATCCCACAACTAATTTTCCGACCATTTTTTGTTTTTATTTAAGGTTTTAGGAATGAAACCAGCCCCTGCAGCTAATTTCAATTGTTACTCGTTGTAAGATACAACAAACAATAATCTCTTGTGACGACTGCAAAACAAGAAGATAAAATTTATAGAGTAAAATAGAGGACTGTGCGATCTTTCTTTCTTGGGTAATTTTCTTAATGTCAATATCTTTTTGTCTTTTCCACATTTTTTTTACTCTCCACTTCCCCTCTCTTTCTCTTTGGGTTTTAAGGGTTTATCTATTAAGCCTTTAATTTCCTCCTCCCCTTTACACAGAACACAATCTGAGTCGTGGATTACTTGTCAATTAGCATCTACAATGGTAACTTCTTTGGGTCAAATCTGGTTTCAATTTCCTATAATATCTGTCGCAGCCGATACTATCTGGGGTTAATTATTAAACACAACTCTTCCGTCCTTTCAAGCAGCTCTGTTTATGTACAGTGCTATCAAATCTTTTCTTACGGATTTACCCCCCTCCCTGTCTCCTCATTTCACTTCTCTTTACCACTTGCAGTCGGTTAACTGCTCTCTTCTCGTTTAAAAATCTCAGCCACGAATCTACCGTCACGTCAGCTTCTGACGTTTGCAAGCTGAATACTGTTTAATGAACCCCAAAACCAAAACAGGTAGAGGCAGATTTCAAAGGAAAAAACGAAGTATCCTTCAATTTTTTAGTTTAATGGTGTTATCTCTCTACGGCGCATCTCTTTATTTGCAGCAGAGATATAGGGGGCTAATAGATCCACTCTGTGTTGAGGTAAGTCCAATGGTTATTCTAACAAATTTACTTGGGTTTTTGCATTTCCTCAAAAGCTTATGACAAACCTTGTCATTGCTTGAAAACCATTGGTAGTCTTCCTCCAAGAAACCTGCATTCTTGACAGTAGGTTTTTTTGCATTGGTTTGGGCCACCATCTCCGCTTTCTCTCTCCTCCTCCCTCTACCTACTTTCTCTTTCCTCCTTCTCTCTGTACCTAGGAAAGGCGTATGTAGTGAAGGGTCTGATCTCTTTCTCAGGTAGTATGGAGAGAGGTACACTGAGGAACCAATAGGATTGTTCGTACGGCTCCTTATCCTGCATGGGCAGCTGCAACTTTTGCTGCTCAAAAACCATCATGATCGTCCCTGTACTTTAAAGTTATAGGGAGAGATTTATAAAGCTCTCCCTAGAGAGAGAGAGAGAGAGAAGCAATAGTAAATGTTAGTAGCGGGAAACGAGGCATGAGGGGTGGGCCTCATCGCCCGTGCCTTACGCTGGAGGGAGCCAATGAGAATGTTGGATCCTGAGCCAGCTTGGCATGGCGAGCCAATCATGGTTCGAGGAAGCTAAGGTTTAACTCTTTCACGTAAACGGGCTGAGCTTCTTTGGCAGTTAGTGAATGGGGGTTTATTAAATATATTTTTTAGAAAGATGAGAGAGAGAGAGAGAGAGAGAGAGAGGTGAGCTGGCGGAAATGGGTTACGAACGGTTCTTCATCAAGTTGCTTGCATGGGGGGGGGCAGCATTGGAATGTTGGAATAAGTTCATACACAGGAGACGCGTGGATGCGTCGCATGGCTTTTGTACAGTGGGTAGAGAGAGAGGCAGAAGAAAGGAGGGGTTCTACCGTGGTGTATAGGACGTTCCATCTCACTTTTTTTTTTTTTAAACATTAACAAAACAGGAAGTTCCAACATCTTAAAACTCACGAACAATATTGTGCTCTTAGTTTGAAAACTTCGAATACATTATGAAGTTAAAATTTGGTTTTTGAACCTCAACGGCTATCATCTCAGAAAAATTAACTGCATGTGAATTGTGGATCCGTTCTCTACGTGGATTTTTTACTGACTGTAGGAATTGATTCAAAAAAAAAAACAAAAATGTCGCCTTTAAGACGTACTATAATAGGAGATGCCTTCTATTCAATGATAGAAACCCATGAGATTTTGAGATGACTCTTAGGAACTATCATATCTTTGACAGCAATGTCCAGCTGAACGTCTATGTCCATTAGTGTCGAACAAAACAATAAACAGAAAGGGGGCAGATAGTTCGGCAGGAATCGACAACAATGTAATATAAATTTGGAGAAATAATGGAAGGAAAAGTTTTGTATGAGGTGTCAACCTCATGTACTATTGAAGAAAAGAAAGGTGCATTTCAAAAACCCTCTAAAAGAGAATGATATTAGAAAACCCTCCATGCTCATCATCTCGACTTCAAGATGCATGGATACAAATAAAAAAAGAATTTAAACTCTTAAAAATAGTACAGCTTCTAACAAAACATCTTCGACTTTTTATTTTCAAGATTTTCAAATGTTTATGGATCTACTCTAGCTATACCATTTTTGGTGTTCTAATTCCTATGTTACCATGTCAAAAAATGAAATAAAAAAAATTTGGGTGTTCTAATTCTCATAACTTGATATGAAAATAGATTCTCAAACCATCACAAGATTTTCCCTGTCAAACTACATCTCCATCAAGAGGTGCGACCTTACTTCTACATTATAAGGACGCCACCTTATACAAACTTACCCATAAATGCACATTTCCAAACCATGACTAGACCTAAGTGATAGCTAAAGAAACTTGTTTATGGAATGGCTTTGTATGGATTTCCTGTTTTTGCACCTTTTTTTCTTCTTACCATTATATGTTTGATAAACACTATTCATGACGATGTCTTCAAATTCCTACAATTTAAGAAATCATTTCTGTAAATTTTGTGGTATGTAATTATACACAACAAACCCAAAAATTGACAGTAATAAACATAGACCATTCGATTTCTAACCCTTATTAGTATGTTTATCAAGTTATTATGTTGTTTAATTGCTCATGTTAGATGCCTGCTGCTTAACACGTTGCACTAATCAGGTCATTTAACATTACTTAGATAATACAAACAGAAGTTGTATTGTATCACACATTCTGACAAAACCACATACTATGCATTTTAGGATCTAGCATGAATTGTAACAGACCTTAAGGTGTAATTTTCCTAGATTTCATGTGTATGAACGGCGCAGAACATTTTTAGCTGGACCGTGTCTGATGATTATGATTACTGGACTTGCATATATCAAGTTTCCATCTACTTCGAATCACGGCATGTATTGTGCAAGTCAACTAGCTTTTAGTTTTTATCATAGTTTTGTTCAAAACGACACACAAGAAATTATAGAAATGCAAATTTGTGAGAGTTTTTCCTGTATGTGGACCTTTTGCAGCGTGAAAACAACAATTGATAGGTACAAGAAGGCATGCGCTGATAGCTCTCACTCCGGAACTGTTTCAGAGGCCAATTCTCAAGTAAGTAACTGGAGATCATTTTTATTCAAATGCACATTCATATGACATAGATTGGAAACTTCAATTGCTATATTTTTTCACATCATATTCCATGCTGATGAGGCTTGGCCAAAGTATATTTTCAATTGCACTGAGCAGTACAATTTTGATATATCTGTATTTATCTAGACTTTTGTAGAATTTTTTAATAAAACAACTCACAAATGAAACTGAGAAAAGACAGGCATGAACCTTTGGAGTAAGAAACTCTAGATTAGGTCATAAAAATCATTCTGGCTACCTAATCGAGCAGCAACTCTGAAATTCCTTGAAGAATGAAAGCCACTTTCCTACTAAATCTTAGCGAAAGTCTATTATGCATATGACAAACTGTAGAGTCGTCGATGTCTACTGAACACTTCACCCTAATTTCAAGTGGAATCTATATTACCACGGGATGGAATATTAACTCAGCAACCATGCAGCACCTTCTAAGAGAATGTTTCATCCCTGCCTCATATGAGAAATCTGAGATCCCTAGTTGCTATTTTATGTTCGAACTAGATTATTTTTAGGACTGAGAAATAACAAAGATCTGTATCCAGTCAAATTATGATATGTAGAAAATTGACACCGTAGTTTTGCCTTGTGGATATGCTAGGTTTGCTAGCCGGACCTCATTCTAAAACGCTTGAAGAAGGTAATAAAATCAAATTTTAATGAACAACTAATTGAAAGAGGATTAAAAATAGCTAGAATTAAAAGAATTAGGGAAAATTGGAACTTGTTAAAAAAAAATCGAAGCTTCAATATTGAATGAGGATTGAACATTCTGAAGAACTAAAGAGTTGGGTTTAATCTAAGGTTGAGATTGCATCAAGGTTTCCTAGAGTTTTGGTGGTTTTCCTTTGATTAAGGTTTGGAAGCATAACCTAGGGTTCCTAATCGCTCAAATGTGTAATAGGGTTCTCTAGAAAAACAAGGAGATTTAGGGGAAACTCAGGAATTCTTTAAGTATCTTGTCTCTGTAAGTATCTTGAAAGGTCTAGTGAGTCTCATTAGGAAACTTGATAGCTTCAATACCTTGAGAAAGCCCAACCAAACAAGTCACGTGATTTGGTCTCATTTGGACAGTTGTTTTGGCAACGCCATGGCCCGCATAGTTGGCGTCCACATCACATCGTGGATTGGCAAGAGTTTACACAAATAATTGATTGATTGGTCTAGAAAAGACTACAAATCATGCCAAAATTTTCCATTCTCGAATCCTAATTTATCCATACTCTATAGAGCTTGGAAGCATATTTGAACATCCCAATCCCAGTTAAAATTTGTCTTGATGTATTAAAATGAATAAGAAGGAAGTTATTTAGTTGTTAATAAAACCAAAAGAGTGCTCGGCACTGCGATCAGACTTATATTTCACTTCGTACATCTGCTTACAATGCATCAACCTTTTTCCCTTTTGGTAGTTAGACAATGAACCGTGTTTATTTTTCTCCAAAGCATTAATTTCTTCTTTCATAGGAAGCTATCAACAATGTTGGCAAGAGGCTTCTAAGAAAGATTTGATAGTGGATACAAAGACTAGAGCAAGCTAAGTGAATAAGTTACAATCCTTTAAATAAAAATTACAACCATTTCTAGCCTTGTAAAACTACTGTAAATAAACTCAAATACCAACCCCTTATGGGACAATTATATATAAAGCAAAACTAGCTTATGAATTATACTTTCATAGCACAAATTACATAAACTATGTCTCAAAACTTAAATACAATATGCAACTAATCTAAACAGAATTCTAAGGAATAAAATAAACTAAACTAAACATGGAATTAGAATGCCAAATTAAAATAGGGAAGCCATGTTTCGATCCCCTTGTGCCGGGGCCACGCAATTGAGCCCTATAAGGACTTAATTTTGTCCTTTCAAATTGTACGAAAGTGGTTCAATCTCACAAGAATGTCAAATCCAAATGGTAAGCAATTACACACCTTAAAATCACTTCTTAAGATCTCAACAAATTGGCATTATCATCGAGAGTAGAATGCAAAAGGCTTGAATCGAATCGGATAAAGAACAAGAGAGTTATAGCAAAACTACACATGGTGGTCCCTCGGACCACAAAAACAGTCATGCATGGAAAAATTATGAACCCCCATAGGTTAAAACATGATGAAAAAGTTACGAAAATTGAGATACTTTGAGACTAAATTATTTGATGGATTTGAAGCAAAGTTATCAATGGATAGTATGCATGATCATAGATTCTCATGCATATAGACTATAACTCATGAAGGACCACACTATCAATAAGCATAATGAAAAAGATGATCAAATGGGGATTTTAAGATCAATGAAAATTTTCTAGATTCAAAACTCCAGCAACTATAGATGCCAAGAATATGATCTTATGAGAAAGGAAAATCCAATGGAGTTTACCTTGATAAATGCATACTATGGACTTAAGCCTAAGAAAGGAGGACCACCATCAAGATCACCATTAATGAAACTCTAAAATCTCTCTCTCTTCAATTTCTCTCACAAAACCTTAGAAAAGGGGGGGGGGCACAAAATTTCCAAAGTGGTTCAAGTGTTAAGAGATAGTTAGGATTTGAGATCTCATGCTGTGCTTTTATAACATGGGTGTAATCTCAGACTTAATCAACACCTTTGATGCACTAATCCAAAGGCACATGAGAGGGTAATGTACCTAGCCACCCATCCCCATCTAACAATTAGAATGACAGGATGTGATTTCACACCCTTATCACTCACCCTATCCCTAAGTTATGCCACTTTATCATTTTGTCCTTGGCCCATGTTTTTGTTCCAATTGTATCCAATATGGCCTTGCAAAAATACCCTTAGTTTTTTTAATAATGTATTAGAGTAGATAACCATAAAGGCTAGAGGGCAAAGAAGTAATTGACAAAGCTCACACATGTAGAGATATTATACTTTATCAAAGCCAATTACTTTGTAGATCTAAAATTTCAACCCAATCATTTTAAAAATAATGTCCACTTCACACATGTGCGAGAAGATATTTTTCAACTCAAATTTGAAAATACATTTTCTCTTTAATATCAAATAAATAAATTAATTAAACTTCACGCATGCCATGCATGACCCATGTGTGAGTTAATTAAGACATGTGATAAAAAGGGGAACCTTAAGTTATAACATTATATAACAAAGTATAACCATATATAACATAACACCATAACACAACCCCATAGGGGTACCACGTGGCAGCCCTATGGCCACTCCAACGTCACATGGCATTACCAAGTCAGGACTAAAGTGAAATTTGAGTCAAACAATTTAAAAAAACTCAGTTTTTTAGCAAATGAAATTTCAAAAAATTATTTGAAATTTACAATAAATATTAAAAGTATTTGTGAAAAATTATTAGGCTTTTTTCATCATTGTAAAATTGGACAAAAGGTATGGTGAGATCTCAAGCTAATAACTATAGTTATCGGAGTACTCCATTGGGCTAATCCTGGATGATGTTTCGTCGAGTTTCATAACGAGCCAATATACCTATGTTCCATAGTCTAAAGCAGGGACACATAATTGGCCATATCAAAGCCGCTGAGCCAGAACTTCTGATCATTCGGCTCTCAATGGATTACAGGTGTACCCCTGTGGGGCATGATCTAACTCAATTACAGGGTCCTCCCAAAGCACATGTGCACTGATTCTTCTAAAATCGAATAATGCATTTGGAAGAGTGGCTTTTCATACGAAATAAAAATACATATGCCATGTAATGGTCTCGTGTCAAGATACAGATTTATGTCCCATAAGTCTTGACCATTTCATACAAGGCGAATACTAAGTACTCGGGTTCTATTTTTCTCGTTTGGATTCCCCAAGCCCTGACCGTTTGTAGCTAAACATGAGACTAACCTATAAAATCTTGACTAGGAGGTGACCCTCACACCTCCTTGAGAAATTGTTTTCTCAATACTTGAACTCTCAATGTCTCATGCATACTCGGGGTAAAAGAATCTGGGCTCCATTTTGCAATACGTCAAGAGTTCAACCTCTCAATCGCTGCCACTGAATGAGAGACTACTGGAATTTAGGCCTTGATAGGCCATATTTCCAATATTCTCCCCACTTGGCCTTTTGAGGCCTGAATTCGTATATCTCTCTCTTATTATCGTTCACAATAAATCAAAGCATGCATATCCATCCCTGGATTTATCATTCACAAGCAATAGACAAAGTAATAACAACTATGTCAACCTCCTTAAACCCATCCCCTGCACATGCCTCACAAAATCATTTGCGCCCAAGCCTTTGGTTAATGGATCTGCATGCATAGCTTAAGATGAAATGTAACCAACTTCTACTTCACCAGCCGTTATCTCTTCTCTTGCTCTATGATATTGAGCTTTAATGTGCCTTGACTTGCTATGGAACCTTGGTTCAACTGCCACTGCTATTGCAGCTTGATTTTTACACTTGATTCTAATAGTTCCATGTTTTAGAGGGTTGAAGTTAAGATGATTTGAGAACTTCTTAATCCAAATGGCTTCTAAAGTTGCGGAACTTAAAGCCATATACTCGGCTTCCATGGTAGATAGGGCTACAGTGTCTTCTTAGGGCGCCAAGAAATGACACCACCCCCATAAAAAAATAGATAACCTGAAGTAGATCTCGAGTCATTCGGGTCTCCTTGATAATCGGAGTCTGTGTATCCCAAAACTTTAAGCTCACTCACATTGTCATAGGTTAATCCATAATCAAATGTTCCTTTCAAATACCTCATGATTCTTTTCACAGCTTTCGAATGTTCTAATCCATGATTTACTTTAGAATCTACCAATCAAGCTTTGAGCAAAAGCTAGATCGGGTCTAGTTCCCATCGTTAAATATATTAGTGATCCTACGACACTCCGATATAGGATTCTTTCTATCTCATTTCTCTCAAGATCCTTGTTTGGTTTCATATTGAGATTTAATTTTCCTCTCCTTTCCATAGGTGTGTCTATAGGATTGGA